GAAAAAGTAATAAAAGGAAAACTTGAATTCAGGACATGTAGATTATAAAATAGACCAACAATCACTATATCAGAGCAGTGGATTAATACAATTTCGCGTCAAGCATTATTCTATATTGTTTTTAAAAAAATTAAATGGGTGTTTTAAGTAATTAACACAGTTTTTAAGATGTAGTTGATTATTTATTATTTATTTTTTGAAAGTACAGGCAGATGATTATTTCAAAATTGGTTTTCCTGGCTGTTCGTGACTCATGTGCACGCTGCCTTTTCCATCGCAATATTTGTATTATCGATTCTTTTTTCCATATTAAAATTAAATAATACTTTTTAATATGTCAAAATAATAATAATAATAATACTTTTTAGATGCTTTTTCATAGTACTCTGATTTAAATAAGATGTCAGATATTCGAAATTTTAAGGATATTATAAGTTTTGTTTCTTTTAGTTTGAACCAGTGGGGAGGGAGATTTAAATCTCCAATAAAAAAAATTATTATCTTAATTAATTGAATCATCCATATATTGACAAAGAAAAAAGAAAGAAAAAAGAATCATCCGTATATTGATTAAAAACAAAATTATTAATGCTATGTTATCATTTTTTATTTTTTATTTTTTATAGCTTTGAAATATGGAGTATAATGTATGTATTTGATTTATGTTAATTTATAATTCTTTTGAAATGAAATTTAATATTTTATTTGATTTATGTTATTTATAATTTTGAGGATTCATTACAAAATATTTACGTATAATGGCATATTCTACTACTTTATCTCATAAAAAAAATTATTAAAAGGTTTTTTTCTTAGTTCACGTATTTTATTGCTTTGACTATTTTCAAGAATAGAGTCCTCGTGTTTTCATTTTCAGTCATAAGGTAATTATTTTATTTTATTTTTTTTTCTTTTTGAGAAAACAAGGTAATTTATTACTTATTCTAAATAATTATTTTTTTTAATATTTATAAAATTTTGATTTCATAAACTAGTTTGAAAGTCAAATATTCTCGATATTGATGTTAGACTTTGAAATGATGGACATGTAATATAATTTAAAAATTCCAAAAAGTGTTATATAATTTATATATAGTGAAGGGATTTTATCTTTTTGTACCAAACAAAGAGTTTTATCTTTTATATGCTTAGTATTTATATTATGATTAAATTTTATTTTCTAAACTTTATGTGAATTTAGTTAATTACATTCTAATAATGGTTGGTTAATTAATCGTTATGAGTAATCGTTAGATACGATATGACATATGCCAACTTGAAAACGTATTAGAATGGATGAGCCCTAAATTTTAATTTAAAATTCATTCTATTTGTGATATATTAATTCCATCAGATCTTAGAAGTTGACACGTTACTTGTTTATAAGATATATATAATAATATATCTAATGTTTTTTTAAATTTAATAATTTATGTTAAGCACCTGGATGATTGGGTATAGATAATTATTCTTTATGTCACCTTTAGCGTTAGGTTCAAGTCGGAGACAACTACGAACGCTGGAGTAGAGATAATTATTTCGCTAGTAGAAGTTCACTTCATAGTCATACATTTACGATACATAATTGTCTTTCTTTTGACCGATTGATTTTGATTGTTTTAGATATTAAAATGAGTGGGGAAATATGGTTACATCTTACTACTTATTAATAATCAAATTATGAATTTATTTTTTTTATTGTTTGAGTTGAGAGTTAAAAGTTGGAGAGTTTTTATCAAATTTAGGGCAAACGTATTTGAAAGAGAGTTGGTTCTTTCCATTACTTAATTTTGTATTAAGTTATTAGATTTAAGCTTTCTAGAAATACCTCTAATTTCTACTCTCAAAACACAACCTACCGTTCATACTTTCTTTATTTTCTTTATTTTACTATTGTGCTTTTTTTTAGAGCAATGGGCCAAAAGAGAGTTGTTCTCTATTACGAAGCTTTGAACTCAATTTCTAACTGTAGGGTGGTTTGATGAGCTACAGTCAGTTGGGCTGTTTGTATCCGCGGGAGAATGAACCAGAGAACACCGACTGCGTTGGTAGTTGATAAGGAAATAAAATGTTTTATCTACTTAACTATGTTAGGATTGATACACACTAATTATAATATAATTTTTTTAAAAATTAAGGCATTATTTTATTATTATTACTTTTTTAAATGGAAGTTATATTATCTCTTGTGATTCGAAACTATAAGAAGTGGAGCCATTAGCACGTGATAATGAAGAATAATATTTCTCCAAATGCGAAGCAAAATCAGATCTTTCTGCCACAAGATTTCATTGTCATCTTAAATATCTCTATTTACACTTTATTTTTATTCTTTTTCCTTTTATGTTTTTTATCTTCAAATATTATTCTGTTAAATTATCCGCAATCAACTTGCTCGCTCAAGTTTCATTAGTTTGTTTATGCTTATGGTACAACGATTTTCATGAAAATATTGATTGGTACATTGATATTAATGAAGTTTAATATTTTCTTAATAAAATTATTTTAATAGGTAAATTAAGTATTTTATCATTCTTAAATAAAACACATATATCCTTATCCTTATCATTAATATTTATATTTGTATTTTAACTTTGGTTTATTTTAGTCTGTGTATTTTTATAATGTTCGTTTTAGTTTACGTATTTTTAATTTACCATTTCGGTCCCTTCAATTTTGTTTTTATTTCATTTTTATATCACAATTTCAACACAACACAGTACTCAATATAATTCTTGAAATATAATCATGACTTGATATTTAAAGGTTTCCGATATGCATAGAATTTGTACTTTTTAAAAATACATTGACCAAAACGAACATCTTGCAAGTACACAAACTAATATAAATCAAAATTGAAATTATAGGAATCAAAATGAATATTATAAAAGTATAGGGACCAAAATGAACCAAATTTGATCATGGGAGACCAAAATAATATTTCAATCTAAATATTTTTACTAATATACTTATCTTAAATTAAAAAATAAAATAAAAAAAGAGGTAAATAATTTAAGAAAAGTTATTAGAAATATAAGCTTGGAAAACAAAATTCATAAGAAAAATAAGATCCTCACGCACCCCGTAGTTTCGGTAATTATGAGTTATCAATTTATTCAAATTAAAATTAGAAATATAAAACGTGAAATACATTGGAATTTTCATTTTTCTTCCTCCCGTGTATTATAAAACTTTATTACCTAAATAATGGCGACCAAATTTCATATTGACTTTTTTACTTTTTACATTTCAGTTTATTTTTTGAAAATTTCAACTTTGTAAGCCTTCTTTTTCTAAAGGATTCCTTTCCTAACATATATTTTTATGACATCAATTAATCATAAATAGTAATCAACTCATTTTTCTACTTCTTATAGTAATATTATTGCAAGTACTTTAATTTAATATAGTAATATTATAGCACTTTTTTCTCCCAATATAATATCACTGAAAAAAAAGAAAAACTTTTATTCAATATAAGTTGTGTACTGTTTTTTTTTTCTTTCTAAAAGAAGCTGACGTATTTTTCTTTTCTTCTTTTTATGCTATGGTTATTATGATAAAATAATTTTAATTAAGTAGATCTTTAGGATTGAACGGTGGTGATTGAATGAAAAGAGAAAAAAAAGGAGTTGGATTATAAATAATTTAATGTGGGGGAAAAGTCGGTGTATGTAATGTATTATGTATGGAGAAGTTTAATTAGTGCGCACGTGGTAAATCTGGTGAACATGGAAGCAGTGATCAACTTTGACTGGTCAACCCATTAATTAATTCATTTCCTTTCAGTTCCTCCACGTTTGCCCATTTCTTTTATTTATAAAATATTCATTCTTTTTTGTTTCTCTCTTCCATGATTCATTTCAACCTGTTTAAGGGATTTCATCTTCAGTCACTTGACAATAAGATAAATAACATACATACGTATATATTATTACATATTTTTGTTAGGTTTTCTATCTTTTTTAGATCTTTAACATGCTTCAGGCTCGATAATTTTGGCTAGATCTAATTTTTTTTATCGGGTAATCGTTTGAACTTGTTGGACTCTGATGTTTCATGAATTTCATCTCAAAATCAATGGAAAAATGTTTTTTAATTTTATTTATTTGAATATTTAACTTGAAATTGTCGATGATAAAGAAGCAATAAATTGTTACTTTTTTTCAATAAAAAATAGTTAATATGAAGAAAGAAAAAACAAAAACAACTATAAACCAGAAAAAATAAATTTTATCATATTTTTATTTTTATTTTATTCAGTATGTATATATTAACATGGGTGGGTATTTGTAAAACTAAACTAGAAAATTTTAATTGAAGTTGTTCAAAGATCAAAATAGTCATTTAAAAAAAATGAAAATTAACACGGAAATTTTGAAAATTGTGGAAGATAAATCTGAAATGTGAATGAACCAAAATATGATTTAATTAAGCAGCTGAATAATTGAATAAGAGGTGAATTTGGTAAACACAAAGAAACAGTACACTTGGGGTTTGCACACAACGACAACAAAAATGGAGCATTCCCATTTCCCAGAGATTCATCTCTATCTGAAAACCCTATTTAAATACAGCCCTTAGCCCACAGCTTTATCCCATGCATTTTCTTCTTCACAATCTCCCAAAAAAACAAAAAGACAGAGAAAAAACCCCAACTTTGAAATCTCTCTCAATTTCCTCCTAGTTTTTATATCTTGAATTATCATATAGTTGCTTGATTTTGTGTTTTAAAACATGTCTGGGAGATCTCGTTCGAGGCCATCAGCTGGTGGTGTGAGAATCAGCGACGAACAGATCACCGACCTCATCCACAAGCTCCAACAGCTCTTGCCTGAGATTCGCAACGCCCATTCCGACAAGGTACACAAACACAACATATGAGATTTGTTAGTAAATTTTAATAAAATCCTGCATGTCTTGTGAGTTCGGTGGTGATTCGGTTTTGCAGGTTTCGTCTGCAAAGGTTTTGCAGGAAACGTGCAACTACATTCGGAGGCTACACCGGGAGGTGGACGATCTGAGCGAGCGGCTGTCGGGGTTGTTGGCGACGTCGGACACGGCCCAAGCGGCCATTATAAGAAGCTTGCTCACGCAGTGAGATGATCTATCAATAATGTAATATGAGATATATATATATATATGGCTAGCTACATTATTGAACAGTACTTAAATTAATTAAGAAGCTAATTAAGGTTTGTTGTTGTTGTAGGGTTTTGCTTTTGGTTGAATATATTTATTACATTATGGGTAGAAATATAATTGACTTTTTTGATTGATGATGAGGCATAAAAGGAAAAGGAAATGGGTGTAATGTTGGGTATAAATTGCAGTGTGGGGGTGGGGAAGGGAAAGTATGGGGGAAAAAGGGATAAGATTATTGAAGAAAGAGGGATGAGGGATTAAATTTATTTACTTTTTGGGCCATAATTTTGTTCTCGGAAATTCATGTTACACTGTAAAAGAAATATATCAATATGAACTGAAGCACGCGTGAAGAGCGTTCCACCGTACACACAAACACTGTGACTCTGTTATTGAAGAATTCTATGCCCACCTACTAATCATAATCCACACCTCACTTTCGATCTCATGGTTGGATACATGTCTTAAACCACTCAACTATATTTTGGTTGGCCTCTCTCGAGATGATTGAAAATTCTTTTAAGAAATAGATAAGTATTCCAAGTATTATTGGGTTGAATTGACACGTTTGATAATCATTTCATTTTTCTTTTGGTTTTCTGTTTTTGAAAAATAAGGGTTTTTTTAATGGTTTTTGTTTCTTGTTTCTTTTTTTTTTCTTTTTTAATAAAGAAAAGTATAATTATATGACCCTAACACCCACATCAATTTAAGAGTGATAAAACAAAGATCTTTATTATGTTGTAATAAATTGGGAAAACAAGAAACTTATTATTTGTTGTTTTCAAAATTTCTATATAACTTTGATAATGTTGCTAAAAAAAAGATAAGAAATGATAAACATAAATATTTGTCAAATACTTAAATTTTTTAATAAAATTGAAAAAGAGAAACAAAAAACGAAACGTTCGTAATTTACAAAACTACTACTTGTATTTCTTTTGTCTTGTGTTGTTAATTAACTTTTTTAAAATGTTTTAAAATATAAGTCAAATTTTCAAATGTATTTTGAAGAAATGTGAAAAACATTAATAAAAGAAAAAGGATGGTAAGAAATGGTAAGAAAGTAAGTATAACTTTTTTGCATAGAAAATTAAAACAAACAAAAAAAAAAAGAGAAAAAATAAATTAGCCTTAATTAGTTGCTTAAATGGTGTAAAATAAATTACATTTGTTTTATATTATATTATGCCTCCATAAACTTTTCATTTGAAAAAGTCAAAGTGGGTTCTTTTGATATTGTTGATATCATGAAAATCAACATTAGGGTTATGATTTTGTTTTCCAATCAAATAGATGAAAGAGTCATATCTTACTTAAATTTGAGTCGCATATAGTTGAGAAAGATTAGTCATATCAGCCCTTCATAATTATTCTTGAATTAGTAGGCAATCTTGTTGTTAGAAAAATTAGGGCTCATTTTCTTATTTATCTTTCTTCGTAATAAAGAAAAATGAATGGCATAGTTCCAACATTTATGAATTCAAGTAATGATATATAAAATAAATTTTTATTTATGTTTTGGAACAAAAAAGAAATAGTAACAAGAAATAAGAAATTTGTTTTGGTTTTTTCTAAAATTTCTATACAATTTTGAGAATGTTGCCAAAAAATAAGAAACAAGAAACATATTTAATTGCAAAATGTTTGGATTTATATAAACTAGAAAGAAAAAAAACGGAAATGTTATCCAACGGCCCTTAGGAATTAGATATTCAATATTTTTTAGTTCACATTCATATTTTTTGTTTCTCGTTTATTTTTTTTCAATAAAAAAAATATATATAGACATAATTACATTTTGTAACTATTTATCGTCGGAGAAAATACATAAAACAAAACCAAAACCACGTGTAAGAAACTTTAATATTACGTTTTCTCCAACGCTATTGTTTCAAATTGACCCTTTTGTATTCAATTTGGCATAGATAGACTGATCATAACTATATGGGGTTAATTGAAAAACTATATATTTTGAAAGCAATTTGTATTTTTATACTGTACATATTGAAAATAATATTAACAGTCTATATAATTTGAGAAGAAATAAATTCTTCTTTTTTTTAATGACATTTGTAAAAATACTTAAAAAGAGAACAAGAAAAAAAAAAGAACATATTTTTACAATATTTTTATATTTTATTTTTGTGCTATTAAGTTAGATTTTTTCTTATGAGTATTCTATTTTGAAAAAGGAAAAAAAAAAATTGACAAGATGAATCTAGAAACATTATTATAACAGCCTGCTTTTATTTTGCACTGTGCTTGCTATTGCATCTTTGGACATCCCATGTTTCATTTTTAATTTATATAATTCTTAACATTACAAAATTGTTTATTTAATCTACTTCATTAGCAAAATAAGATATATGTTTAGATTTTATTTTTTCTAATTAAGTAATTTGTTGGAAGTGATTCAATAATTATCGATTAATATATATGCTTGTTTAACATTAAGGGTACTGTTACTTTAATTAATTATAGTGTTAAGATTATGGTATTTGTTATAATTTATGATAAATCTACAGACAGCACAATATGTTATGGTTTTATTTCTATATGTTCTTATCCTGTTTTATACCCTTTCGAATTAAATTAAATAAATACTTTTGAAAGGTACTTCATTAAATATCCTCATTCAAATTAATTCAACCATTATCGTGAGGTCCGCCAAACTTTACGGCATAAATTTAAGCGATATGTACATTTGTTAAATTTTGTTAGTGTGAGTCAAAAAAAAAAAAATTGTTATTCAGTGGCATATCACACCAAAGTATACGTTGTTAATTATTTTAGGATAAAAAATACTTTTTTAGTTGTCTCGTATCTAACAATTTAATCTTGAATGCTTTTAGTATGTAATGATTTAGTCTCCGTACCATGAAAAATATCATCAAATTTAAGTGTAGGATTTTACATATGTATGTTGTAATTTTCTAAATGAAGCTATTTTTTTGTCTTGAATACAACATGTGGGTTGGATATTTGAATTCACTGTSTTTTAATTAGAGAAAACTCAATTTGTTTATGTTGGAGTTGAATTTTCACCTAACACAAGGTATATCTTGATTTGAAGAGAACAACACGTGGTCTTCAAGACCAAGTTCGTTACCTCTGTCTTAACACTTATTGTCGAGCTGACGCTCTAGGTGGCCGAGCCGACCTTGTATCCCTTTGGTCTTGTTCCCATTCTGCGGTCGAGCCAACTTGATTCTATTCACTCTCCGACACACTCTAGGACAATATGTCACGTTTCACGATAACCTTAAAGAGTTGTTAAGATTCTGTCGGAGAGCTCGCCTATAAATAGGGACCTTTGGCCTCTATCCGAAGTAGCCGAACTATATTCACTTCCTGATAGCTTGTCTTCCAAGTCATCTTCCAGTCCGAACCAATGTTCGCAGACTTGATCATTTTCGTGATTAAACGGTTTAAATAAACTATCACGGAATACGTATCATTTGCTAAAGTATACACTTTTTTTTAATCTCCTCTCTATTATTTTAGAATTTGAAATTTTGATCTTCTTTAATATTTTAAAATTTATCAACAAAATATTTCTACTATACAACGTTGCGACCTCATAGACGTTATTTATCAAATCAATTACAAATAACTTGTACTTATAATCGATTCTTCATAAACTTTAAACCAAAATTTGAACAAAAAATACTAAAATAGAAAAAAGGGTATCAAATCCCTATTTCCGAAATAATGTATAAAACATAATTTTTCCAAGCATTCACTTATTTTTTTATTTTTTTTATTTTTTGATCGAAGCATTCACTTATTTATACTATATTTATTTATCACTCCAGAGAATCTCAATTAAAAGTTTATAATCATCCAAATTTGTAGTTCAACGGAAACTCTTTTT